GGGGAATGGCCCAGGATGTCTGGAGCCCAGCTCTACAACTGGGGAGTACCTCCCAGTGCACGAAGCATGGTCACCAGCTTTCTCTCCTTTGAGCTTTACTATAATCCTGGAAAGTGGGTGGAATGGGAATTATGACCTTATTTTGCCATTGAGAAGCCTGAAGCCTCTGGAGCTGCCTGCCTTGATTAAACTCACACAGCCCGGGAGTGATGGAGCCAAGCCTTGAACCTCAGTTCTCCACTTCAAGTCCAGGACTGTTTCCAAGTACGCCCTTGCTGCTTCTCCACAGAGCATTGCAAAGGGGTATAAAGTAAGTCTCAGATGATCGTGGACCAGGATTTCGCCTAATAGGATAATTGCGTCCTCTCATTTCTCCCTGAAAGAGGAGCACCTACCTCACTGTGTCAAAGATGAATAAATTGAGTCCCAGGAACGGCTCACCAGTCATCTCTCAATCTAGAGCATTAGCAGTAGAATCAGAATCAGAACCGGAATGGCTTTGGGGAGCTGAGCCCTTCCTAAGTGCCCAGCGTTGAGCTATAGGGCACTCTTGACTCTGTTGGAGTGTCATGGGGCCAGTCTCCTTGGGAGGTCCTGGCCAACCAGGTACCTCATTCACTTAGGCTGGGTTTCAAGAAAGATTAGGTACAGATACCAACGCAGGTAAGAATGAATTTGATGAGAAGGAGAAATGTCCTAGTGAGGACAAGTGCAGCAGGTGCATCCTCATGATAAGAGGCCTCTTGAGAAGGGCCATGGAAAAACTTCTAGGCAAGAGAAATTATTAATTTTGTTGGCTGGTGAGTTTTAAAATTAAACTCTGAATTCTGCTTGCTCATCTTTCCCATTTTGTGGATCTCATAAACAACATGATAATTGCATTCACAGAAATCAAAAGCAAAGACCTTCTTTAATTGCCCACAAAGCTGATGACCTCCTCCAAGTCAAACTGTTTTGGCCCTCCACTGTTTCTCTCACTGTATTAATACCTCCTTCTGGAAACATCTTCCCCTTTTACCTCCCAGTCACCATCCTTGCCTGGTCTTCTCCTCCTCGAGTGCCCACTCTTTCTCCGTCTCCTTCGCTGGCTCCTCCTCATCATCCCAGCCTTGACTTTTCTTTCTTCTTCATCTGGACTCAGTTCCTTTGTAACCTCACTGAATCCTGTGGCTTTAAATGCCGCCTATAAGCAGATAACTACCCAGGTTATACTTCTGACCTCACACTTCTCCTGAGTCCAAACTCACTTCCCTGCCTCTCCTGGGATATCTCACTGGCATCTCAAACTCACCTCCTTCAAAAACATAGCTTTTGACGTTCTACCCCCAGCCTGCCCTTCCCTGAGTCACCCCCATCTCTGGTAATGGCACCACCGATTATTCCATCGAGAAAGGCCAAACCCTAGAAATCATCCTTGATTCCTCTCTTTCCCTGCACCCCACCTCCCATCCATCAGCCAGTCCTGTCAGCTATCAATTCAACATTCTAAATCCAAGCTTTTCTCACCACCTCCACTGTCGCTGTCCCTTCCACTCTGCTTCCCTTTCTCATCTGGGCCACGGCAATGGCTCTCAACTGGTCTTGCTTCCTGCTCTCTAACCCCCTACCAGCTCATCACTGTAGGTTTAAACACTGAAGTCAAGATCATGTGACTCCTCTGCTCAAACCCTCTATCACTTCCTGTTGTCCTTCAGCTTTCACCATCACCTGTCTGCCAGATCCACGTCAGCTTGCCTCTGATTACCCCATTCTTCAGCCCTACTAGCCTCATTACTATTCCTCAGCATGCAAGCCTGCTCTTGCCTTAGGTCCTGATACTTCTGTCTGGAATGATCTTCCTCAGACCTTCGAAAGGTTGGGTCCTCACTTCATGGAGTGAAAACCTCACCTCCCCTCAGTGGCCTTCCCAGACCATCTGCTTATGAACAGCCTCTGACACGCCCTTCCCCTGACAAAGTATTATTGTTATCCACAGTAATTATCTCTAAATGAAATTCTATATTTGTTTTCTTATTCCTTTTGTGTCTCCTCAAGTCGAAAAGAAGTCAGGGACTTCTGCTGTCTTCTCCAGGATTGTATTCCCAGTGCCTAGAACAGTGCCTGGTACCTAGTGTGGGCTGAGTAAATGCGTATTGGATGAATGAATTTGCTCTTGTGGCAAGTTTTAAAATTACTCCTTATTAGGCCAACTTTACAATGTCATGGAAGGATTTTTTTTTTAAAGATAAAAGCTCCTCAAAAAATAAAATCTAGAACTACCGGATTATCTAGCAATTCCACTTCTGGGCATTTATCCAAATAAATGAAGACACTAACTCAAAAAGATATCTCCCCCCCAGTTCAGTGCAGTATTATTTACAATAGCCAAGACATGGAAACAGCCAAAGTGTCCACTGGTGGATGAATAAGTAAAGAAAATATGCTGTGTATATGTCTATATGCACACATAACATGGGACATAGAACATTATTCAGCCATGAAAAAGAATGAAATCTTGCCATTTGTGACAACATGGACAGAACTTGAGGGCATTATGCTAAGGGAAATAAATCAGGCAGAGAAAGACAAATACCATATGATCTCATTTATATGTGAAATCTCAAAAGCAAGCAAGCAAACAAACAAACAAACAAAAACAAAAGCCAAGCTCATAGATACAGAGAACAGATTGGTGGTTGCGAGAGCTGAGGGGTGGGGATAGGTGAAATGGGTAAAGGGCGCCAAAACTTCCAGTTATAAAATACAGTAAGTCCTGGGGATGTAATGAACAGCATGGTGACTGTAGTTAATAAAACTGGATTGCATATTTGAAAGTTGCTGAGAGAGTGGATCTTAAAAATTCTCATCAGAAGAAAAAAAATGTGTAACTATGTGTAGTGATGAATGTTCGCTAGACTTATTGTGATGATCAGCGTGTTCACAATGTATACAAATGTTGAATCATGCGGTACACCTGAAACTAATGTAATGTTATATGTCAGTTACACCTCAATTGAAAAAAAAGGTAAAAGCAATTTTGCCTTAAGTCTATCTGTCTATGTGCAACTGCTTTCAGATTGTGGGCCCTTCCTACCTTTAGCTCCCCTTGCAGATTTTATGTATTATCTTTACTGATCTCAAAATCAGGCTGCTATCCAGAGGTCACTCCATATCTCCCCGTATGCCCTTCTCAGGACCCCATCCCTCTTCATCCTCTGCTCTCATCTTGCTGCCCTGGTTGCTGGAGGAGATGCCCTCACAACCATAGAGGAAAGGGCACGCTTCCCCATCCTCATTTAGAACAGAGCAGGGCAAGGGGTTTAAGTTAAAACTCCAGAGGATTCTCTTAGGTCCCATTCATTCTACCAGGCATTTCTTGAGACACTGCACTATGTTAGGAACCGTGGTAGCCATTGAGAATGGAAGTCATGTCCCCATTTTCATGGAACTCATAGACTAGCAGGAGAGAAGCGCACAGAAAAGGAGTCCCATGATGTGCCATGCAGGGGCAGCGAGGGCTCCTGGGGTCCAGAGTGGAGCAAGGCTAACCAACTCCGGGCAAGTGTGGAGACAGGACAGGCTTGGTATGTTTGCACCTGAGCTCAGGGTGCCTGGGAGGGAGCGAGGTGGGATCCTGAGGGACAGTCATATGGGGATTTGTGTGTTGTGCTAAGGGATGGAGACTTTATTCCAAAGTTACTGAAGAGCCAATGAAAAGCAAAAGAATTTTCTGATTGAAAGTTCTGAATTCATTCACTTGTCCATTTATTCTTTCATTCAACCAGTATATTTTGAACCCCTGTTATGTACTAAGCCCAGTGTTATGCCCTGAATGTATGGTATTTAGTAAGTAGTCATTGTCCTTGCTGTTACAGAGCCAGCCAACCATGGCGCATAAAGGAAGCGTGTTTGGTGGCTCCTGCCATAGTTTGGTGGGGGTTTTTGGGGTTTGGTTTTTTTTTTTAAAAGATTTTATTTGTTTATTTGACAGAGAGAGAGGGAGAGAGCACAAGCAGTGGGAGCGGCAGAGGGAGAAGGGAAGCAGGCTCCCCACTGAGCAGGGAGCCCGATGCAGGCTCAATTCCAGGACCTTGGGATTATGACCTGAGCCGAAGGCAGACGCTTAACGACTGAGCCACCCAGGCGCTCCACTGCCATAGATAATTATAGGAAAAGGAAACCTTATTATAGCTAACAATAGAAGCAAGTCCCCCTAACAATAGGTGTATATTTAAGCAAACTACGGTCCCCAGAATGGAATATTAGGGAACCATTAAAAACGATGTTTGCAAGCATTGGAGAAATAAAAGATTTATGGTGCCTCTTAATAGTAGAGGGGAAATATTAATGATGTTCACTGGGAAAAGCGGGGTAAAATTTATACAGGGTGGTGAATATCAATGAGGAAAAACAAACATAAAAAAAGATGATAACATATACAAAAATATGAATTATAGCTGCCCCTCGGCAGAGTGATTTTTCTGCTACTTTATACTTCTCTATAACAAATATTTTTCTCTATTAAGCACACATTTACTTATCCCACCATAACTTGTTCCGTTATAAAAGGAAAGAGATGAACAGACAAGAAATGAAAGCCAGAGGGGAGAAAGCAAGGACAGACACCTGTCTATCTGACATGACTTAGGTGTCATGTCCCCAGGAGGACCAGGATGGGGCAGCCGTGTTAGGTGGCTGGTCATCCCTTGCTTAGCCACGACAGCTTGTTATCTGTCTGAGGGAGTGCCACAGAACGCACGCTCCGGGATGTCAAGTTCCATCCCGGGTGACTCTGTGTGACCTCGGACAAGTCACTCTTCCTGGTTATCCACCACCCTGGAGGAGATTTTCCAAAGACCTCTCTGGGAAACAGGATAAGTAGGAAGAGCCTGGCCACAGGGGAAGTGGGTGTTCTTTTTCAAAATCTAGACAAGCTCCTCCCCCACATTGCCATTTCCCTCTAACCTTCAGTCCGTCCCAATCCCACTAACAACTCATACTTTCGTTTTTATCTCTTTCAGGAAATGATCGAAATGGCCTAGATTTCAACAGGCAGGTAAGGTCTTTCAGAAAGCAACCTTTATTCTATAAATATTGAGGGGCAGGGGCAGGGGGCGACCACTTAGACTACGCCAGGTGCGGGAGATATAAAGAAGATTATGTCAAGTTTGAGGGTGTTTATTCATAGGCTCAGTAGCTTTCAGGGGCCTATCAAGGGCCTTTGTGTCCAGCCTCTCCCCAGTCAACAAGCCAACGTTGGGGTCCCCACTATCCCCTCAAAAGAGTACTGACACCTGGAGCACTTATTTAGGACTAAGTACTTGCCTGATGTGGTGCAGAATCTAAAACCACAGCTCTCTTCCCGTCACGGCATTTAGTCCGAGTTGCCTCTTGGGTGAGTCGGTCTGCGTGGACCAATTGTTCAGAGAGGAATGTATGGAGGTACCAAGAATGGAGGACCTGAGACCCTCAGGGAACTCCCGATTGAAAGGGGAAGATAGGGGACAAAACAGGAACAGAACAAGAGAGCCCAGGACAAAGTGTATAACCTGGCTCCGTGGGACAGTGTAGACACAAGCTTGGCGCCTTTGAAGAAAACCGAGTTGTGTGGGGTTCGAGTTAGTCTGGGAGGGCTTCAGGTGGGGGCAGATGGTGTTGGACAGAGTGCGGGATGGACAGATGTGAAGGGAAGGATGGAGCAGAGGGAGAGGACTTTCCCCCTTGAGATCAGGCTGGCGGGAAGCCGGGGGGAGAGGGCTCGCACAGGGCATGATGCCAGAGCAGATGTGGGAGGGTATGTTGGTGGGAGGAAAGCTAAGGTGGTCTGAGTTTTCTCAGCTGAAAAATTAATTGATTTCCTAAATTTGGCCGGGGGTGGGGTGGGGCATATACACTATGCCAGGTGTGAGAATACAAAGAAAATTAAGACATGCTCTCTGCCCTGCTGCAGCTTATAGTCTAGCATGGAGAGTGCAAGAGAGAGATAAAAGGAGAGGGAGGAGAGAGAGACTCCTCAGGGAATAATTCTAATACACTCGCAACCCTGCTTTACTAGAGGTGTGTAGAAAGCATGGTGTCAAACAGAAATGGAAAGAGTTCATTCTTCCTGGGAGCTCAGGGCAGGCTTCATGGAGGAGGTAATATTTGAACTAGCTCTAAAAGGTGAGTAGGACTCTGTCAGGCAGAGAAGAGTGCGGTGGAAGGGCAGAAAATCCTGATGTGGGGGTGCATTGGAGAATCACGGGTTCCTTCTTGCTCTGATATTCTGCGTCCTAGTTTAGGTGACAGTCTGAGGTGGGACTGGAGATCAGACTCCTTTATCTATACAGTGATTTGAAGTCACTACTAACGTTTCCTAAAGGGCTGGGTACTTTCTGGGTATATCCTTCATGGTCAGAGAGAGCAATAATCTGGAGTCCTAAGCCAAAACCTCTCAGGCGTTCTGCATTTTGTTCACTGTGGAAGTCGTCTAACGAGTGGAGGCAAACTACTCTCTCTGTACGCGAGGCCTAAAGTAGAGAGAGGCTTCAGACTTAGGACTTGCCACCAACATGGTCGTTAAACACCGGAACAGCCACCAAGGGAAAGAGACAGTAGAGTCAGCTTCTCACCTATGGTCTTTGCATATGAGACAGAGTCTTCTCTCAGGGATAGTTTTGCCACGTTTGCTTGCAGGGCGGGAGGATGGAGGAAATTCCCCAGGATTCTGTGATCCTGAAGGAGAATCCTAAGCAGGTTGGGATGGGGCCTGTGCCCTGTGCTTTCCACCCTGAGGAGGCAGGATGGCAGCCTGGGACCCACCTTTCACTGTCCCAGGCCCTTGGAGAAGATGCACAGGGAGGAGCCCATTCCACACCAAGATGTGACCACACCAGCCCAGTCCGGAGGTGGCCTGCTCCACAGGCCTGGTGGGTTGAACTGCCTATGTGATCTTTTGGGAGCTTGAGAAACCCTTGTGCTTGGGACAAGACTGGGGGCAGCCCCTCTGGCCCTAGGCAGCATCCAGAGAGGTCCCTGGCCCTTTGAACATCTTTTGGGGTGTGGTGTCTCCAACAGTCGGGAGAAAGCATGCTGGCTTCTTCCAGGAGTGGGCCTCGCTTGAATTTGCTTCACTTAGCTGAGCCCCATGGGGTGGGCTGTTCCCTCCTCCCTCCCCTGGAAAGGGTTTTTGGATTTCTCATTACTGACAAGAACAGACATGACAGATCTTTCCTTTCAAGAAGGGGAGAATTTTGGAGAAAGAGGCTCAGCCAGGTCACACTCCTTTACACTCTTAGGCCAGAGCACTCCTCTGCTCACGCGCATCCACATCCATCCCCCCCGCCGCCGCCCATGGCTCCTCCCTGCGACCAGTCACTCTATCCCTCAGTGCCATCCAACACGGACACCCACAGGTTCACGTTCATACCAGCTCGCCTGCAGACCTACAGGTGGGCACCCAGGCTCTCTCGAGCCGCTGCGTTGACCGTCATCCCTCCACACTTCACAGGGAGGGAAGTAAACCAACATTCACTGCCTGCCAAGCTCTGTGGAAGGGGCTTTGGGCACTTTATCTCACTGAATTCTCACTATAGACCAAGGGTTACTGTCCCCATTTGACAGGCGAGGAAGGTGCCTCCCAGGCAGCCCCACCTTTTTTTGGCAAAGGATTTGGGAGATGAACTAATGTGCCGAAGGTCACATAATTGGCCACCTGGCAGAACCAGGATTCGAACCCACATCTCTTGGACTCCAGAGCCCATCTTTCCCTTGATGGCCTGCTGCATCCTCCTCTACAGTCTCTCCACTCTCCGCTCCCGGCACACACACCGTGCTCAGGGAGCGGCTGGGAGCCAGGGGCTGAGCGTGACCTCACTGTGACTAACTGGGAGGAAATGGGAGGCAGAGGGTGTGGGGAAGGGAAGAAAGGGTGTTGTGAGGAGCAGCCTGGTATGGCACAGGGAAGGGGTTGACAGACACCGGAGAGCAAAGGATGAGCCTCTGCCCTCGGTGAAGCCCCAGTTGGAAAGCCTCAAGCCAGTTGGTGCAATCGGGAGTTGTAGCCAGATACTGGCTAGACAGTCCTACAGTTGCATGAGCAAGGGACACTGGCTCATCAGGAAGTTTCACGCTGAGCCTGTTAGCTTCCTGGTCCCAGGAAAGCAGCCTGAGCCTGTTTGGAGGAGAACTGTGGGACGACCCAGGGACCCAGAGGCAGGGCTACCCTGCCGTCCCTGGGAAGGATAAGGAAGTGGAGGGGCAACAGGATAAGCCCAGATCCCCGGACGGGGAGGCAGGCGTCCTGGTACCAGTGCTGTTTCTCTACCTCTCACTAGCCGTTGTCCTTAGACAAAATCTCCATCTTCCTGGCCCTCAGTTTCCTCTCGGATAAAATGAAGAAGTTTGCATGGGGTGATCTCTCAGGTTCCCGCAATCTGTCTGTTAGGTTCCCTTATTTCTTTCATGACCTATTCAGACTGGTTGGTTTGACTTCCACTCTCCTTTCACTTTTTTCTTCGAAGAGAAATAGGGAAGAGAGTGTCCATTTCTTCACCCTGAGCTGTAGAGAGTGGGGGAAAATAAGTCCCATGATGTCTTTCCAGTCTTTATGATTTTGTGTGATCCCGTGGAAAGAATCGTTTGGAATGTAGGGGCAGAGGCAGAAGGACCCAGCTGGCTGGATTTGGGGCCCATCATTCATTCTTTGAATGTTTAGTCATTCCGAAGCGCTGGAGAGGGTGTGTCAGGAGTAAGAAGATAAATTGCAAAACTGCTCAGTGAATTCCATGAGAGATGGGTAGCGCTGAGCTCCTGGGTACCTGCCTGAGGATGTCACCAAAGAGATGGTGTCTGAAGTGGGGGACAGGGGAAGTGTAAGGGATTTGGCTGGCTGAGAAGGGCGGCAAGAGTATTCCAGGCATAGGAGCCAGTGAGTGTGAGGGCTCCCTTGAGAAAGGGCGTGGCTTCAGGGGAAGTGTGAGAAGATGAACATGGGGGGAGATGAGGCAGGGGAAGCAGGAGTTGGGGGTCGGGCCATGTTGTGAAGAACTTTGAATGCACACCAAAGGATTTTCTCCTGTGGGCAGTAGGGAGCCATTAGGCGTTTTCTAGCGTGACTAGTTTCATTTAATGGAAGGGCATTAGAGGGGGTGTGGGTGAGGAGGGAAGGAAGGATGAAGGAGAGGCCTGATGGAATGCTGTTGTGGTATGAAGAAACGGGCAAAGCTCAGGAGAGGCATTATAGCAAAGAGGTCAAGCACACGAGCACAGAGGCAGACTGCCTGGGCTGGAATCATGATCGTGTGGCCTTGGAAAATTCCTCACCTTCTATGTTCCTCACTCTCCTCATCTGGGAAATGGGGAAACTAATGGTACCTATCTCACAGGGTTGTTGCAAAGGTCAAATGAGAGGGCGTGTGCCTTTTAGACAAGTGTCTAGAACCTAGGAACTGTGTACGTATTCGCTATGTTTATGACCGTGTCAGTATGCATGGAGAGGCTCAGATTTGAGAGAGAGCTCTGAGATAAGATCAAGAGGATTTTGGCAACAGGTTGGACGAGATGGCAAAGGAATGGGAAGGGTCCAGCACGATTCTTAGATTTCTGATTTGGGACGCTAAGCATTGGAGGGACTGCAAGCAGAGCCCAAGAAGCCAGAAGGTAGAACAAGTATGTCCAGACGATGGAAGGAGCTGGAAAGCTGTAAGTACCAGTACAGTGACAAATCGGGATCTGGAGTCCGGGGGACAGGTCAGGACGCCTATCAGGGAGTCACCATTGCATCGTGTTAACTGAAATGGTGGGAGGGAGGGAGGCCCCCTAGAGACGGTGTGCAGAATGGGATGGGGACGCTGGGAAGACCTGCAGAAGAATCACATGTGGGACAGGCTGAGGAGTGGGTGCCTGTAGACGGGATGAAGAAGACGTGGTTAAAGGGATGGGGGTGGGGGTTGGGGAGGAAAACCACCCCCACAAAGGAGAGATTTTCATGGCGCTGGGGAGAGCCACAGTGTCAAGGACTGCAGAGGTATTGTAGAGCCCCAAGCCTGAACACGGTTTCTGGCTTGGCAGTGAGAC